TGTAAAAATTAGAAGAGTCAATTCATATAAATCACTTAACATAGTTCCTAATACAAAGGAAATGTTCAATAAATAATATCTATTAGGACTTTCCTGGTGGTCTGGTGGTTAAGAATCCACCTGCCAACACAGGGGACATAGGTTTGATCCTTGATCCAGGAAGATCCCGCGTGCCGTGGAGCAACTAAGCCTTTGTGATAGTTACTGGGCCTGTGTGCCTAGAGCCTGTGCTCTACAAGACAAGCCACCACAATGAGAAGCCCGCATGCCACAATGAAGAGTAGCTCCGGATCACCGCAACTAGAGAAAGCCTGCACAACAACAAAGACCCAGCACAGCCATAAATAAACAAATGATTTTTTTAAATGATATCTATTAATTGCATGAAAGAAAACCTGAAAGTAGGAAGATCAGAGGTCAGGAAATAGTCCAGGAAAACAGAGGTGAGAACAAAGAAAGGTATGCTCACTAGTGAGCCTGAGATGCTGATGCTACTACTAGAGAAACCAGGGAAAACAAAAGGAAGAGAAAGATCAGGCCAGTGTATGGAGATTAAGCCAGACTTGTTATGGTTGAGGTTCCTACAGAACATGAAAGTCTACTTGTCCCTGGAAACTACAGAGCAGAAATCCAAAAGAAAACTTGAAACTAGAGACATAGTTTTCAGAGCTATTAACATGTGGCTGTGGTGGTTGAAGTTGTGGTAATGAAAAAGAGTCCTTAGAGAGAAAGAGTAATGCAGGATCCACAGGACCAAGAGCTCCGGGATCACAACAGAATCCACAGTAACTCCAACATAACGTCAGTAAGATGGAGAGGAGACAACATAGCCCTGAGAAACAACACCTTCCTTCAAGTAGTTTTCAGTGCCATCAGGGAGACAAGACATGCACATGTTAAATAATTTTTATCATGATTGTTAGACGATTAACAAAAGTAATTCTAAAAACAGAGGTGGTAGGCATTAGAATGGCAAGAACAGAAAGGGAAATTACGCCGAAAATTGGAAAACCTAGCAGTAATATACAAAAGGAACAGTGGAACAGAGAAGAATGCTAATTTCAAGGTGGAAGAAGTCAAGGGGGAAATGAAGACTATTATTTATTGAATGTCTACTATGTGCCAGCAACTGTCCTATGATCTTTTAATCTATTTTACCTTCTTTAATTCTCATGTCTATGAGACCAATATTACCCCCATTTTACAAGAACAGTTTGAGGCATACCAAAGTTAAGAAACTTGCCCAAAGTAACCTGGCGATTTAGGACTGGAACCTAGATGAAGGACCAAAGCCCATGGTTTCTCCACCATACCTTCATTTATTAAATAGGTAAAAGGAGGCCATGTCAAAAGAGAAGGAAAAAAAAAAAGAAAACTATACTCAAGAGAAAACAATTAAGTCTCGCTTAATTCAATACAATAGTTACCTTTCTGAGGAAGTATGAAAGGGAAAACAAAACAAAAACGTTTTTAAACACTAAAAATAATCTTTCAATTCCAGGACAGGTAGGATTACAGCCATCTGCTTGCTTCTAGACCTGTCCCTCAGGTCTCTTCCATACTATCATCATGGTTAGAATCAAATTCACTCCTGAGCATGTCACTCCTCTCCGTGCAATCTTTCAACAACTCCCTATCACCAACACAGTAAACAATAAACAAAAAATTTTAAAAATCAACAGATCCCAAAAGAGAAAGCTGTTTATAAACTCATTAACCTAGAAGGAATAATAAAAAAGAGAAGGAAAGTTAACTTCTAAATTAAAGGCTCACTTATAATTCTTAAGTCTACTTTTCTCACTTCAAAACTGTAAAATAAAGGAAATTTCAAATGCCAGTTAAAGAGCAACATTGACACCTTGTGGTGAACATCCTAAAGTATGAAATGTGACAACTGAAGGGTCTCCTAATTAAATGTCTGCTTACATGAAAACTAATGCTTAATCCAGGGATTTCCAAGGGCTAGGAAGCAGAAATCAGTTACCATCACACACACTGAATGTAAATTTGGAAAGAGCTGCTCTTTCTTTGGTAACACTGGAATTAGTCTAAATTCCTAACTGTTGGCAGAAGAGTAAAACCTCAGGTCATTGTTTTCCTACAAAATGTGGTACAACACATCCATTAGAAGGGGCTATAATGCTAGTTAGGGTCATAGATGTTCTAAAAGCAGCCTTTACTTAGTCAAGATTTCCTACTTTTTTGTATGACATTTACAAATAAAAGGTGGGACATTATCAATTCATAGCAGCTACCAACATAAAAACACAATGAGAGTTAACTAACAGCAGACGTGGGTTCTAACCCTGACTCCAAACAGTACTGAGAACTTTGTGGAGTAAGTCATATTAAAAAATTCAGACTCTGTCTTTTCACATAAAATCACAGATCAAGAAGTAACAATTAAAAAAAAAATCATCAGGAAAGAAGAAGGTATATTTTTAAAAATTACTCCATCCAGGAACAATGTTGCCTGAGTTAAGGAGGGGAAGCAATGAACAAAATTAATTAGCACCACATTAACTTTCTCAGCAATCACTTTATATGTATCTCATGATAAGAACAGTGGGAAAAGAACTTTTAATTGAGCAGATACATGACAATTACTCTGAACTGTGTGAATTTGCAAAGAAAGTTCCATTTTACTCATTAACATTGACAAGTACAATTTAAAGTTTCTAGCTCCAAAGTAACTTTCCGGGTTCAGCCAATTTACTTGATAAACAGACATTAGATTTAGTTCAGAAAAAAGTATATCTGTGTTACCAGCTACAAAAGATTTACATAAAGGTGATGAGCAGGCAATTATTAACAAGGTTATTCAAACTACTGACACACCTAAGGAATCTAGAAGGCACTCCAGAAGTGAAACTCCCCAGAGACATTTCACTGCAAGATCAGTGTTAATTACCTGAGCAACTACCAAACTAATTTTATGATTTTGCATTTATGGAGGGCTCTATGACTTTCAGAAATTTTCTCTATCATCATGCTACATGCACCCAATAACCACCAGTCTAGGATAAGTCAGAGTGTGAAAAGGGTTTGCAAATTTTGTTTGCCAGATAACCTTCATACCAATCTCCAGTCTGGCTCTTACTTGGTGTGTGTCCCCTCAGCTGAGTACTGCTAAGTAATTGACTGCCCCTTGGCCTCACTTCTACATGGAAGACAAAAGCTGATCCCTGATGTGGGAACACAGAAAACTTATAGGAGAAAAAGGTAATAGATGTGAAAACGCTTGTAAATTAAACAAACTGTAACACCACTGCTTCTATATTTTAGAACATCAAAGAGGTTAAAAGAACTAGGATAAATCAAGGATAATTAAGTCACAGGCAAGTCAGTCAACACATTCTCCACTATACCAAGCTGATTCCCAAGATTCCAAAGTCTTTCTTCAGCTCTTATTCTCCTGAATCATTACTGTACAGAGCCTTCAGGAAAGGAAAGTGAAGTTGCTCAGTCATGTCCAACTCTACGCGACCCCATGGACTGTAGCCTACCAGGCTCCTCTGTCCATGGGATTTTCCAGGCTAGAGTACTGCAGTGGATTGCCATTTCCTTTTCCAGGGGATCTTCCCAACCCAGGGATCGAACCCTGGTCTCCCGCACTGCAGGCAGACGCTTTACCCTCTAAGCCACCAGGGCCTTCAATACCCCTTAAATCTCTGTTTTCTTAGATTCTATGATACCATCTTTCCCAAATTCTCTTCTTACTGATTCTGTATTCCTTTTGCTTTTAACTTTACTGATGTCTCTAATAACAATAAAATCTCACACTTCAAAAATATCTTTAAACATAATAGTATCTATAACTCTATTTTACTGAGGAAAATAGGCCAAGAAATATTAGTGGCTCACAATTCAAACTATTTCTGTGCATCCCTCTTTTCAATACTTAAAACTCAATGTAGTCCAAACTGAATAGGCTCAAAATAAGAGTTATATATTTTGACACAAGTTGTTTTCTATCTCTACCATTCAATTACTAAATTCCGTCCATTCTGGTACATACCCTAAGAAGTCAAAGTATCTCTCAGGTAAAAATCAAAAGACATCAAATGTGTGTGGTTACTTTAGTTGAAATCATTGTCTCTTAAGAGCAATTTACATAGTCCATGTGACCAAACTCTCTATCATTCTGTATAACAAGATTCAAGATTTGCAAAGGAAAGGCTCATTTAACAACGTTTACAAAATAAACAACCATCCAACTGGACAAGGATCCAATCATCTTTCTGGACTCTTCCTCCAACAGATATATAGAGGATGTCTAATGGTCTGAAATTTATGATGTGTTATGTAAACATTAGGAAAAGACTGCCAAAATCGAGTTTCAATGAACCATCTGTCTGAGTAGGGTGAACGTAGGTTGAGTGTCACTGTTAACTTTATTTTAAACTGCACTTATTTTGGTAGCCTGCCTCCTGGGAAAATGTCCTTGATGATCTACCACACTGAAAATTAAAACCAAATTTAAAAATCTTACAAAATTAAACCCAGACATTATGAAAATACAGAGCTGAGGCAGCTAAGCCTCTGAGCACATGAGCTTCACGCAAAGCTCTTTGACTTGCCAAACATGATTCTTTTACAGCAGGTCAAAACTCTAAGCTACATCTAGGCCTATTGGAGAGCTTTTCTAAGTAATGGCATCATTGTTAAAATTTTGATAAGTCTAAATTTTATACCTCTGGTTGCTGTTCTTTACAGTGCAGAAGACCGGAAACAGCTCATGTCCCTACTTTAAGATCACTAGCTTCCAATCATTCTCTCCCATTGTCCGCAGGAAAAAAAAAATGGCATTTGAAAGGCTTTGTAAAAGAGATAAACTTAAATAACTGTAGCTACAAAATTTATGAACCTCTCACTAAAAAATGCTAAGTCTGAGTAACAGCTTCCAAAGCTCCCATACGTTTCCTCACACTGAAATGTCACAAACTCAGAATGAGGAAGATTCTTTAGAAAATGCAAGAGGACTCTAAGAAGTTTCTTACCGCAGCAAAGAGAAGACATCATAAGAATTGCGAACACAGTTCTGATCCACCTGGAGAAGAATATTCTTCTGAACATTTGAATAACCCTAAAAGACAGTGATCAACAAATTAATCAAAGTAAAACAAAATATGTGTCCAAATTAATCATGATGTTTGTCTTTTTTAAATTATGATTTAATAATAACTCAGTAGGTTCAAATCATTAAGAAATTAAGAAACAGTTTCACATAATTGAAGTTTAACATTTTAGGCAAGTGAATTTAAAATAAATTTCTTCTAATATTTTCCCACAGAAACAATGTTTCACATTATAAATTTTGGTAAACTTTCCAGTGAAACCCCAGAAGTCTTTTTAACATATTATGTGGCTGAAGAAGAGTATTAACAATAATATTTCAAGTATGCCTAGCCAACATATGTAATGTTTTTATGGGAGAAAAGGCATTCCAAGTTTTAATTAGGAATACCTGAAACAAATATTTCCACTCAGTGGTGTTAAGGTGTTGGGAGCAAGGATGGTTTCTACAGCAAACATAGCACAATTTCTTAAGAAGAACAGAACAGCTATCTGGCATTTCAGAAAGGCAAAGTAAATAGTAGTTAAGAAAAAAGGACTCTGGACCCAGACCACCTGGATTACAATTTAAGCCCTTAACACACCAGTTCTGTAACCTTGAGCAAGGCACCTAACTTTTTTCAGTTTAACTTTGGTTTCTCATCTATAACATGGAGATGATAATACTATCTACCTCACAAATTGTCATGGGAATTAAAAGAGCTAATATTTGTAAAATCAAAGGTATGTAATAAGCACTGTATGCCTGCTATAATGCTAATATAAGCATTTTCCAAAAATTACATTGCTGCAGATATTAAAAAGGTTATTAGGAAAATATCATGAAGAACTTCATGCTAACAAATCTGACAACTTAGATTAATTAGACAAATTCAACTACAACATGCCAAAATGGATAATAGCTGAGTAATAACTCTGTAACTATTTTTAAGTGAATAAGTAGTTGAAAAATCTTCCCACAAAAATAGTCTTGGTCCAGGTTTCTTCACTGAATTATATCAAATGTTTAAGAAATATCATCAATTTAGTACAAACCTCTTCATAAAACAGAGCGGAAAGGAACAATTTCCAACCACATTACTGACACTAAACCTTATCTCTCTCTCTCACACACACACACATAGATAATTATAAGCCAATATCCTCATGATTACAGACACAAAAATCTTAGCAAAACATTAGAAAGTTGAACCAGAAATACATTATAAGGATAAAACAACAACACTTCATTTTGACTGAATTTATTTTAAGAATGCAAGAGTGGTTTAGTATTTAATATCAATCAATTAGCAAATAAATGAAGCAATCATTATAAATCTACCCTTATGGGTACACAATAATAAAGATGTAAAGTGATGATAAAAATGGGGGAATAGAGCCATAGAGAAGAAAAGTTTTATATAATACTAATATTAACTTTAGCTAAACTTACAAATTAAGATGTCAACTATCATCCTTGGGGCAGACACTAAGAAAATAACTAAAAGATGCACAGTGAAAGAAAAGAGAAAGGACTCAAATGTTACATGAGAAAATAACTAACACAAAAGAAGGTAGTAATAGAAGAAATGAGGAACAAAAAGAAATAAGAAAACAAATTAAAGAATGGCAGAAGTCCTTCCATCTGTAATTACAGGAAGTGTTAATGAATTAAATTACACTACAATTAAAAGGCAGAGATTGGCCAAATGGATTTTCTTTTTAATGATCCACAATATGCTATCTACAAGAGATGTACTTTAGAATCAAAAACATATAAATAGGTTGAAAATGGAAGGATGGAAAGATATTCTATGTAAGTAGTAACCAAAAGAGAACTGGAATGTGTAAACTAATATCAGACAAACAGACATTAAAACAAAACAAATGACTAAAACAGACATTATGCAGTTTTAAAAGGATCAAGAAGATATAAATGATTATAAACATATATGTACTTAACAACATATAAACAAAACATATGAAGTCAAAACTACAAAACTAAAATGAGAAACAGCAGAAGTCAACATCCCACTTTTAACAATGGATAGCACAACCATAAAAAAAGAGAAAGAAGGAAACAAAAAATATCAACAATACTATAAACCAAATAGACCTAACAGATGTATATAGCATGGTCCACTCAACAACAACCATACAAATATTCTCAAATGCACATGGAATATTCTCTAGGATAGACCATATGTTGTCACAAAGAAAATCTCAATAGATTTCTAAACACTGAAATCATACAAATTATCTCTTCTGATCACAATGGAATGAAACTAAAAATCAGTAACAAAAGGAAATTTGGAAAATTCACAAACTGCAAACTAAACAACATACTCTTAAATGACCAGTGGGTCAAAGAACAAATCATAAGGTTAATAATTAAATGCTATGTTGCATAAAAATACAACATATAAAACACATAGGATACAGTGAAAAAGTGCTCAGAGTGATAAATGCAGCTGTAAATTTTACATTAAAAAGAAGAAAAAGGAGAGAGAGTTCGAATCAGTAACGTAATCTTCCACCTTAAGGAACAATAAAAAGAAAACCTAAACCCAAAGTAAGAATGAAGCAAATAATAAAGATTAGGGCAGAGATCCTAGCAGCTCATATGGTAAAGAGCCTGTCTGCAACATGGGAGATCCAGATTTTTTTTTTCATTTATTTTTATTAGTTGGAGACTAATCACTTCACAATATTGTAGTGGTTTTTGCCATACATTGACATGAATCAGCCATGGATTTACATGTGTTCCCCACCCTGATCCCCACCCACCTCCCCCCTCATCCCATTTCTCTGGGTCTTCAAAAATATGGAATGCTTCAAGAATTTGCGTGTCATCCTTGCGCAGGGGCCATGCTAATCTTCTCTGTATCATTCCAATCTTAGTATATGTGCTGCCGAAGCGAGCACAGGAGATCCAGATTCAACCCCTGGGTCAGGAAGATCCCCTGGAGAAGAGAATGGCAGCCCACTCTAGTATTCTTGCCTGGATAATTCCATGGACAGAGGAGCCTGGAGGGCTACAGTCCATGGGGTCACAGAGTCGGACACGACTGAGCAACTAACCCTTTCCATGAAATATAGAATAAAAAACAATAGAAGAAAATCAATAAAACTAACTTAGTTCTGTGAAAAGAGCCAACAAAACTGACAAACATTAAGCCAGACCAACCAAGAAAAGAGGAGAGAACACTCCAATCACTAAAATCAGGAATGAAAGTGAGAACTTTACCATTAATCTTATAAAGACAGGAAATATTAATTATAGAAGAATACTATAAGAGCCTCTTGATGAAAATGAAAAAGGAAAGTGAAAAGGTTGGCTTAAAACTCAACATTCAAAAAACTAAGATCATGGCATCCAGTCCCATCACTTTGTGGCAAACAGATGGGGAAACAATAGAAACAGTGCGAGGCTTCTTGGGCTCCAAAATCACTGCAGATGGTGACTGCAGCCATGAAATTAAAAGACACTTGCTCCTTTGAAGAAAAGCTATGATCAACGTAGACAGACATTACTTTGCCAACAATGGTCCGTCTAGTCAAAGTATGGTTTTTCCAGTAGTCATGTATGGATGTGAGAGTTGGACTGTAAAGAAAGCTGAGCGCTAAAGAATCGATGCTTTTGAAGTGTGGTGTTGGTGAAGATTCTTAAGAGTCCCTTGGGCTGCAAGGAGACCCAACCAGTTCATCCTAAAGGAAATCAGTCCTGAATCTTCATTGTAAGAACTGACGCTAAAGCTGAAACTCCAACACTTTGGCCACCTGATGTGAAGAACTGACTCATTGGAAAAGACCCTGATGCTGGGAAAGATTGATGGCAGGAAGAGAAAGGGACGACAGAGGATGAGATGGTTGGATGGCATCACCAATGCATCACCGACTTGATGGACATGAGTCTGAGCAAGCCCCAGGAGTTGGTAATGACAGGGAAACCTGGCGTGCCGCAGTCCATGGGGTTGCAAAGAGTTGGACATGGCTGAGCTACCGAACTGAACTGATGAACAACTGTATGCCAACAACTCAGGGAACCTAGATAAAATGAAAATTCCTAGAAAAACAGAGACTCCCAAAAGTGATTCAGGAAAAAACAGAAAATCTGGACAGATCCACAAGTTATCAAAGAGTTTAGCTAGGCTACTCCATGGTATCACCGCTTTGACATCCATTTTGTTTGGCCAAGTAGCCTTTAGGGACCTTACACCAACACTAGATCCCTCTTTAGGGAAGTGCATGCCCTAGATTGCAGGCTGCAGAGTTACAAGCAAACGTAGATTCTGTTAATACTTGTGATCAACAGTCTCCCCTGCTTCCCAGGACCTGTATGCTCTACATGCCCCTTAGATAAAAATCCCCATGGAGCTTACCAAATCCCTGCTCTTTTGGTTTGAACTAAACCACCCACCCAAGCCCAGGAACCCCAAAGCACTCTACAGACAGACTCTAAACAAGACATATGTCCCAGATCCTCCATTTCTCTGTCTGCACTCTGCCTTGACCTCCCCATGTGGCCACTTCAAAGCCTTCTCAATAATTCCTCCAGAATCTATGAGTAACAAATGTCTCTATTTCAATTTCTCTTGTGGTTTTCTGTGCTCTATCAACAAATGTTAATTTAACAAAGTTATAACAAAACTAAAGAAGTTAAATCAGTAATTATAAAACTCCCAGCAAAGAAAAGCCCAGAACTGCATAATTTGGCAAAATCTACTGATCACTTAAGAGAAAATAACACCAATCCTTCTATAAGTCTTCCAAAAAATGAAAGAGGAGGAAATACTTCTTAACTCACTCTATGAGACCAGTATTACCCTGATCCCAAGCCAGGTAATAACATCACAAGAAAATTATAGACCAATATCCCATATATATATAAAACATATATATATACATTATAGAGAAAAAAATCCTTAACAAAATACCCTTGAACAAAGAGGGGGTGGGGGCAACGACCCCTACATGGTTAAAAATCCACATATAACTTTACAGTCAGTTCTCTGTACCCACAGTTCCATA